GTCTGAAGAATATGGCGGTTGAGGTAGAACTTCAACCCCCAATTCGTTCAATTTATGGATAGTGATTTGTGAAACGTGTGGGCGGGCGTTGTCATGCAAAAGAATCGGACCCTTTCTGTTGACAAGTGCTGGCTGCAGCTGACGCAATTTTCGGTACATTTCGTCGATTTCTTCACAGTAGGGTTCTGCTGTGATGGTTTGGCCTGGTGATAAAAAGTTATAGTGGATCACACCAGCCGATGACCACCAAACCGTGACCAGAATCTTTTTTTTTCGTGAAGAGTGCTTGGGCGAAATTGCCTCGCGTGGTTCGTCGGCCAGCCCAACACTGTCCCGCACTCTCCTGTTGATCTACATTGACCCAGTTTTTCATCACCAGGGTGGACAATTCGGCCCCAAAAACAGGTGTTTCTTTGTTGCGCAAAGCAGTGCAGAAGGAACCTCGAGACGTGCCAATTTCTGCCGGTCACTCAAATTGTGGGGCACCCACTTGTCGAGTTTTTTCACCTTTCCAATGCGTTTCAGACCATCCGCAACAGTGGATTTGCCAACCCCTAGCCTTTCTGCAATCTCTCGAAGTGGTTTGGGATGGGTCAGCCTCAAAATCCCCCTAAAATCCTCGTCAGATATTGCTTTAGGTCGACCGCGAGGTTCATCTTCAAGGCTGAAATCTCCAGAACGAAATTTGTTGAACCATTGCCGCACAGTGCTTTCTCTAGCACTATTGGGCCCCACACCTGGTTAATTTGTTGAGCTGTTTCGATTGCGGATTGACCCAATTTGTAAATAAAGAAAAATATCGTCTGAAGTTGCTCTTTTGACATGCTTCAAACAGTATTGGGAAAAGAGGGCTTATCAAGCAATGGTGAAACGCAATTATACCATCAGATAGCGCAAGAAATTCTCTTCAGGATGTGCTACTTGAGACGCAAGGGAGAATGAGTTTTTAATCAGCAATGAATGCTACAAAAAATAGTAACACAAAACGCTGAGAACTTTGGACAAGCTAGTAAATGCCATATTCGTGATCAGGATGTCAATTAGGTTTTCGTCAAATTTGGTGAGGAAAGTGGTGGCGTCATGTTGGTGCCTATTGGCGCCAAATGGTGCCAGCGCCAAATATGAATGTCATATTCATGACCAGGACATCGTATAACATCTATGGGCAGAGTTTCAGCAAAAAAATTTTCCTTGAGTTTTTGGGGTAGGAATAGTTTAACAGTGCCAAAATGGCTGTCACCAACTTGTTCGCATGAGCCACATTGGGGTCCATACATTCCGTTATGCGTTGGGCCGTGTTCATACTTCGCGGCTCGAGTGATTTCTTTTATCGCATGCGGTTTGGGATTTCGCACTGCACATCAAAAGCCGCCCCACCACTAGTCGGTCGGCCGTTGTAAAATTGCATCAGCAGTTCAAGGAGTAACAGGGATCGATCGATCGGATCGAATGGATTCTGGTAGCGCATGGAAGCGCTAGAGTCGCGAAGTGTGAAGGCAGCCTTAGGTTGCATTCATGCGCGAGGAATCCGTAGGGAAAGGCAGTGCGCATGTTTTCTGTACAATTCCTTCTCATCTTTATTGCATGAATTTTGCATGTCGTTTTTTTACATTTTTTCTCGTTTTTATCCTATTTCTTAACTCCTTCCCCGCAGTCCATGTTCATGTCGTCAACCCTTATTGAGAGCCGGGGGTTGGGACATCGATGATTTCGTCTGCGATGACGGGCCAACGGATCATCTGCGCTATGGAGGTATCCCCTTTCCCAATATTTGTTTTCTCTTTGTTTCAATTGCGTTTGAATTCTGTCTCGCGGTGAGGAGTCTGCTGCGGTTACACAAAGTCGCTGTTTCTCCCAATTCAACTCCAGATATTCCAATTCCATAAATCTGCGATTTTGTCAAATTTGAAAATCAAACGTCACAGATTCTTCCCCTGTATTTTGTCGTTATTTCAAAGCCATTGCGATATGAATGCGGCCTTAAAGGCAGTTGACGCGATAATTGGTGCTGTGTCTAAAATGGTAGCAGGGATGCTAAACAGCGGGAAAATGGCGAAAAACAGAAGTGAAACGATTAAAACCTGAAAAAGAGCCATTGTTCTACACGACTCAGAAAGCAGTTTCGGACGAGTTCCCCGTTGGTATCTTGCCAATAAACGGTACAGTAGACGCGGCTGCATCTATGTACTATATCCAGGCAGCACCACAGCCGCTTCATATCAATCCCTTCGCTTCATATTGTACTTCGCAAATGAAGCGATACGAGCATCAGCATCGGTCGGACATTTGTGGGCGGCGGGCGCGGTGGGCGTCCAGGTCGGTATGTTGTAGCTTGATAGGGCGCTATAAGGGTACTTTCTCTGGATAAGGCGGCACGCAGCAGTTGCTCAGGGCGCCGAATTCAGTCCCGCTAGGCGTGTTAGTACTATAGTCACAAAATATTTGCTGCTCTGGAGGAGGGGGAGGAGGAGGGGGCGAAAATGAGTGACAACGTCGTTCTTGATGGGCGCAATGCCCCGCCCACTGTCCATACCACGCCTAACTTCCATTTCTGACTTCTGCCTAAAAGTGTTCCGATACTAGCTTTCGCGAATGGTGAGTGAGATGGTAATGGAAGGAAGGGGACCACTTTGACCTGCCCTGTTTTGGGATGTGCCACGCATTTTGCTCTCATTCGGAAACCTGTTATTGTTTAGTAATGCTTATATGCAAACTTGCTGTGACTAACCAATGTACAGTCCTCATCATTGCGGACTGTCGGGCGGCTGAGCCGCGCTGCACTGTGACGCGACAGCGGCTGCGGCTGACGGCGAATCAGCTGATTTCCATGGAATTCGGCTGCGAATTCCCACTTTTTCAGCTCTTCAAGCTTCGAAAGTGGAAGGTGAGTTATTTTGAACAATTTTAAATTGTACTGGCTCTGAATGAATCTGAAAGAATCATTTGAATAAATGCCTGAAATAAGGCAAAATACAAGGAAAAGAGCATAATAATAGACATAAAAATAAAGGAAATTAGAGCCAGTACAATTCAAAATTGTTCAAAATAACTCACCTTCCACTTTCGAAGCTTGAAGAGCTGAAAAGTGGGAATTCGCAGCCGAATTCCATCGAAATCAGCTGATTCGCCGTCACCGAGCCGCAGCCGCTGTCGCGTCACAGTGCAGCGCGGCTCAGCCGCCCCGACAGTCCGCAATGATGAGGACTGTATGTGTGCTTCTTACAGCGAACCGTACGGAAGACGAACCATGCAACGGTTTCCCATTCATACTCCATTTGACAATGGGAGCCGGTTGTCCTGAAGCAAGGCATTCGAGTTCAGCGGTGCTCTCCTCGGACTGTTCGATATCTTGCGGTGGGTCGAAGTCCCAGTAAGGAGCAGCTGAAATCACAGACTTTACAGAATGTTTTAAGGCTTTCTTCGGGTGCAGGGCACATTATCGTTGTGCAAAAGACAAAAAGGGTTGTATTTCAGCCCCTTGGGGAAGGGTTTTGTTAAACTTCGAGATTTTTTTGATTTTTGGTTTTCCCGTTTCACTATATTTCCCCCTAGTCGTAAGCGCTCTCTTGGGAAGACATAGAATGTGGTATACGGCGCGTGCAAGAGCGACTTTTAATTCAGTTATTTTTTTATTTATTTATTATTATTATTATTGAGCATTCATTATTTAATTTAATTTTAATAGAAATTCAATTACATAACGAAATAATCAGCCTTCAGAGTGACTTTGAAATTTTGAACTTTGAACCAAAATGCAATGAATTTCTCAAAAATCACGTTTTTATTTTTTTTGGGAAGGAGCAAGTAATTTGCACACCTATACAACCCGCTTATGCGCCCTGTTGGGAACGGGCCTCAGAAGAAAGTGAATTTCCGCCTTGTGGGGAGCTAGCGGCGGCGCGGTTGTGTCACGCCGCGCTTTGCCCCAGCATGTCAAGTCTGCTTGTCTGTGCCCTTTGAAAGAGATTGTGCATAACGGAACTGATCACTGCCCATGCCCCCCCCCCTCTCCTCCCCGGAAAGTCCAGAGGCACATTTGCGCCCTAACTCACCTACAACTCGAACATTAACGGAGTGAGCGATGTTTGGCAGACCGGCATTCGTAGTGACCAGCATCTTCAGGGTGAACATTATCGATGATCAAGGCCTTTCCATACTCGCTTTCGGGTGACGTTAGATCCCTTATTCGAGCCTTCGGCAAGTAACCATCGAGCTTGGACCAGAAGATTTCTGGCAACGGGCTGAAATGCAGAACTATAAGAACACCTCTTCATGATGCAGGATCTTTGACAAAATGTAGAAAAATTAGATAGAATTCCCACCTATTCTTTCTTATATTCGTCGTTCCATCCAATCTTTCACACATATTCGTTATATTTAGGCGCCGATACCGTTGAAAAGGCCTTTTAAGGGGTCCTTGTGCGAAAATGTGAGAAACGTCATTCACATGGGAGCACCATCCGGCGCTGTTTAGCGACGGGGGAGGGGCATTTTGCCCTTTTGCTACTTCCCATCGGCGTGTCGAGCTATCTAGGCCTCTTCTCGAGTTGACAGGTTTTACCATGACAGCTAGACGAGCTTGCTCCAGCTTCACAAAAGTTCACAGGTTTCGCCAGAGTGAGACTTGTAAACCGGAACTAGGGAAGCATATAGTGCAAAATGCCCCGTCGTCAATGCCAAACTGTGCCGTACCATCCTTTGAATTAATTCACAGCTCAGAACATCCCTTTCAGTTTAAGATCAAACTGAAGTACGCTTTTTACCCCAGTTTTGCACAAGAAGACCTTTGAATGCTAACCTTGCCAAGGTCGTCAGTGCCTAATTAAACTTAATCGTGTTTTTTGGACTATAACTTATTTCTTTCTCAATCGAAATTCTGTCAATATTACAGAGATAGTGATAACTACTGTCAGTGGAGTGATACTCTCGAATCAGGGAATCGAATGCTGTCCTATTGTTAGCATTTCGGCCAAAAACATATTTATAATCGTACAGGACTGAGAATTTCATATTATTACCTCCTTTTCCCTTCTTTCGTCCCTTTTTTCTCTAGCATTAACCTGGCCGAGCTCCACCTCATTTACGACCCATTTGAAACCATAGCGTGGTAATAAGCTGGCCGAATGTGGCAGTTAAAAGAGAACATAGACGTTCCTGCCTCATAGCGGGAGGATAATGATGACACGACAGGAGACATAGCGTTCTACTGTGAAAGTCAGGAGTGCTTACTGCTAGCAGGAGCTAAAACAGTTGTAATAAACTGCTCAGGTTCTTAGGCAGGGTTATGCCATGCAATGAGGCCTTGCCCAACTTGCTGGTCTAAGAAAATAGGTCGCTGTTCGGCTTAGGTGGTGCGGACCTGGGAGGGGGAGGGGTGCTTTACTCTTCTGTTAGTACCTTCCGCCATTTCGGGTTAACCAACAGGCCCCATTTCGATGAGTCGTGTAACTAGCCTGTAACTGTACTACTGGGAAGCTGCCAAGTAGTGCAGGTGAAGCCTTTTGGTTGAAGGAATCCACAGATCTTCATAGATGGTCTGTACAGGCTTCGCTGAATATCACGTGCCCCCAGCACCGCCGAACTGCACTAAAAAGGGTTTTCTACTCTCTTTTGATTGAAGGTTGTTCTTACTAACAATAAGCCAGTACACCCGCTCACCAAAGACCTAGTCATCCTTCACACTAGCGCTGCGTGGGTGGAGAATCCACCCACGCGGTGCTCGGGTGAAGAAGGCTCGTGAGGGTGGTAGGGCACGTTTACGATTTGCGAGGGAATTCAGAGGCTTCCTTAACCTGTAGGATATAGGAAATTGGTGTAGAATAGGGAACAGTTACAATTGTAGTCTGGTGCTGAGATGACGAGGCACGTGAAGTTGGACGCTGAATTTGAGGGAAGTCAGCAGTGATAGGAGCGAGAGATAAAGGGTTTCAAAAGAAAGGGGGACACGATAATTTCGTAGGGCCCAAAATGGTAATAGAGGTGCTATATGTATAGCGGTGAACTCGCGAAAAAGCGAAGCGAAATCGCCAGAGACCTGCAAAAGAAAGCATTTGTTCTGCCCCATCAAGAAGAAGATTTCGGCGAGTATCCCTTTGGAGTACACCTCCACGACAGATACGGCTGCATATATGTACCCATATATACATGCAGCACCGCCTGCTTCACAAGAACCCCTTCACTTAATATTGAACTTCGCGAATGAAGCGATACGAGCTCAGGTACCGTCGTCCATCTGTTTGTAAGAGGGCGCGGTATGCAGTCGTCTTGGTTTGAGGGACCTTGACAGGGCGCTATAAGGTTATCTTTTTTGGAAAAGGCGCCGCGCGCGCCGAATATGTCCTGCTAGGCGTATTTATCCTACACGTCTTCGGGATTAATTGTGCCACTGCCTTTAGATACGCTAAATTTCCCAGTTTTCAGAACATGACCTGTCCGTCGCTGACTGCATTGGGCCAAAGAATGCGATCTCGAGGCTGAGCAATCTGGCGATGGCCTGGGCCGTTAATTTTAATTGTACCTGTGAGGAAAATATCACGTATTCATGGGTGTCCTTCGCTACTGACAGCCATTTTTGCGATTCTACATCCTAAGTAGTGGCGTTCAATCAGAAACCAGTAGTCGTTAAGTCACTCTCCAGAAAAGAAAAAAAACTCTCGAGAACATCCTCAATAAGGACCCCTAGCGTCCTCCGTGAAATTCTCCAAACCTGCCCACTCCCTGGCAGGAAAGCTACCTGCTAGTGTATGTAACATTACCTATAACCAGGCAGTTTTTTTTGTCTGTTCGATTCCTATATTCTTTTAGTGAACCTCCACTGACTGTTGACAATTGCGGCTGACAAAGTAAAGAACTCTGTTATCCTAGGGAGTAGCAGTAACCAATGGAGTACCAAGAAACTCCTGATTGGGAAGTCTACAAAGTAGTAGGTACTGCGAGCCAGCGATGACGACCTGTTTGTAAGGTCGTAAAATGAAGCGACTCCATAGTAAACCTGTTGAGCGCAGAAATAAAAGAATCTTAGCCTGCGCTTTATTTAGGTTCCTGTACTCTTTTATAGGTCTCTAGTGAAATAGTAGCAGCTTGAAAGAACGAACCTTCCGCCGAAAATGCACAGCAGACGGAGTTTGCCTCCTGCTTTGACAGTCACCTCCTTCGGACTCGTGTACAATTTGTGCACGGGCACAACTGCTTTCCCTGAAAAACTGTAGTTATGGAGTGAGTTTACCTCATCGTCGTCATAGTCATAACCCCTTGAAAGGGAGCTGGGTGAACTGAAAAGCAGGCAAGGCAAGTTTTCCCACCAAATGTTGTCGGCTCGGGAGGGCATGATTGGTGGGAAAAGGCTGCCGTAGTTGCGCTTCAATCTACGACCCCTCAAAAGCCTTTCCGATTGCAGGGATACCCATTTTTGCTGCGGCATAATCATAAATATTTTAGAAGCGTCCCTATCCTGGGTGCTCGTGCTCTAACGAATCGTACTTATCTGGGAAGCAAAGTTACTACGATAAGTGAATTAGTTACGGAGCTGAGCAAGTGAAAGCGAGCGGAGTACGAAGATTGGTAATGAA